TTGCGAAGAAAATGATACAGAAGAAAACTCATAGAATGATGTATTCTACTGCTTGGTAAGCTCAGATTCAGTATTTAACGTGTTAAGCGTCATTTCCAACAATACCCAGCCGTGATTTTACCGTTAAGGCTGGGGAGGATAATGTATAATATTAAGGTTTAATTGATCCTGTTCTTTAGTCTTGTTTTATCTTTCTGAATATACTTATGTACAGTGGAATGATGACTTACAACTCATTTTCCTTATTATGCAAATAGATAAACATTTGTCAGTTAAACATAAAGACAATATATTTTAGAAAGTACACATGCCAACAGTATTTATAGTATGTGATAGAATATAAAAGTAAACCAGAAATTCGCGACTAGGCGATTTTCAGGGGAAATACTGGTCTACTGATACTTAGATTGATACTGGTCTAGGTATTGATACTGTAGCTGGTCTAGATACTGATATTGGTCTCGATACTGATAATGATATTGGTCCAAATGCTGATACTGGTCTAGATAATGATAATGATACTTATCCAGATACTGATACTAACGGCCGTATGCTAGAAAGTTTGTGACGCAAAGCAGTTCCTAACACAATTTTCTCAAGCCAAACTTTTACGCATCTGCAGGGCTGTCATTCGCAACATAATTTTCACATTTAACGTTATTTTGACATCCCGAATATTGTTTGGCATAGGCCTACCTTAAGACAGAGGGTTTGGCATTCCTAAAGGTACCCATTCACGAGGAGATTTGATCGCTCATAAACAGCAGATATGGAATGCGGCGGATTAAACCTGCCGCTTTACCCGCCCACAAACACGGGGAATATATAGCTTATGCGTCCAGATCTCGCCCTTCAGTGTATGGTCGGTCTTTGATCTGATCGGTTGCGTTATAATAGAAAGTGTTGTTTTTAAAGAGTAACCACTATGTGAATTAAATGTATGATATTCATCTCAGAATTTGTTCTTGTACCTCCAAATATGCATAAGATTAAAAAAAAAAAAAAAAAAAAAAAAAGTCTTATATTTATAGTCTTTTGAATTAACAAATTCTGGGCCCAAAACGTCGTCTGCTACAGCTTTTAACTCAAATATTACCAGTAGCGCCACCAACCCGGTAATGACGTCATGAGTTGTGTTCATTTTCCTTGTCATCGCCGTGAATGCATGGATGAGAACCGTTTGTGTGATATTTAGTATGCAAATATCCTATTGTCCACCAAATATGGATAGAGATCCATATTATCAATAGTGTATCTGTAAAAATATATTTAATTATTTAATTTAACACACTCACTCATTGGTTTCTGCTTCAAATCTGTGTTTATGTTGCACTTTGGAATGATCATAAACATTCTGCAGAACCCAGACATCCAGACAGTTAGACATGAAACCTGGATGTTGTGTAATGCACTTAATGTTTCCCCCAAAATTGTCGTTGTACTCATAATTTTTTTCCTGTATTGGCATCTTTTCTGTGCAGCACATGTTTTCCTCTGGAGTTTCACATAACTCACATCTGCCACACTTGCACCTGTAAAAATCAAAACCACTGTTAAGATGTATTTTAACATAGGAATTTGCTAACAGGGCCAGGCCAGCCAGATCACAGGCCTATTGGACTAGGCCCCATTTTCTTCGGTACGATCGAAAACCTGCAAAGGAATCGCCAATCACCTCCACTAACCCCAGCTGTATTAATTAAATCATGTTCATGGCCATAGCTTGCATGGCATGATGACATTTTACAGGATCAGGACCCTGACACACTGATATCTAATTAATATGGCCAGTCACACTGGAAGCATGCAGTGCACCCTGCATGCCCTGTACATAGACTGGACGTTTTGTTTACAGTGTAGGTTAAACTGCATTTCGCATCATGTCGAGCGATGGCGAGCCTAGACGCCGTATAGACTCATCAATAGTACCTGACCTACCAGTCAGTATTGTCCATTCGCTGTTCCAACCAATAGTTCTCCGGTAGCTGAAATGCCGCCGACTCCAAGAGCTCCTCTTCAGACAAATATTCGGGCTCAAATTGGTAACCAAGCACAACACCGTCTTGCCAATCATGCCAAACATCTTCACTGTCATCGGAAATGTTTATAGAGTCCAGACTACCGTCAAGAGACGAACTTGAAAAGCTATCAACACTGGATGATGAAGAACACGCCATAGCCATTATAAACAACACAGACACTAATACAACTCATGGAGTCATCGCAACTAATTCCAAGAGATGGCGCTGCGAACAATATTTTAATGTTTAAATTAGCAGACGACGCATATTTCGGTAAACAATGCTTCAAAACTATATTTTTAGACAGATTTTTTTTTCTTTTTTTTTTTTTTTTTGCAACAAATTGCTTTTGAACAAGTAGTATCTCAGCAATGAAAAAATGCAAAGTTGTGCACAAACTTAGTAATTACTCTTTAAGAATGCCAGATGATGTTTTCCACTATATACTATCAAAACCATGTTGTCAATTATTGAAACCATGCTGAGTATAGCCTTTATTCCATAGAAAACAGGAAGAGCGCACCACCGACTTCACCCGCTGTCACACACAGACTGGGTACCTTTAGTAGAGGATTTTCAACAAATGTATCCCACAGTTTCTATTTAAGCACACGGCCGTTAGGGTCATTTGTGAAGAGCACAAGGCAGTTCACTCACCATCGCTTGTTTATTTCAAATTGTTTCATCTGTTAGTGATGATGCGATTCGTGATGCTATTTCGTCGTTTAGATGTTTTTATTTTTACTATTATTATTATTATTATTATTATTATCATTATTATTATTCAATGCTTTCCCTTTGTGTTTTTTTTCTCATGTACAGTACTCGCGCTTTGTTAAGAATCGCATACTCATTGCATTTTTGCATCATCAACCGCGTGGCATTTGCATATTTCGCTGTTAGCTAATCAGGGTGACCTTGATTAAGATGAATTCATTAGGATGCTGCAGTTAATTTCGGGTTCGTTTATCTGTTCACGCTTAACTGTTTTAGCCACTGGTTAATGCATTGCTTATTTTCAGTGAGTTGACCCAGGTCTTTATGCTAATTCATCGATGGTCTGTGGTGCATTGCTCAGGGTGTTCCTAGTAATGATGTTAATTCATCGTTTTGTGTAGGTTGCTTATCTCTATATTCATTAATTTTAGGGGTGCATTTTGGCATAGGAAAGGTATGAGGGTTAAGGAAGGAAGGGATAAGGGGGGATAGGAAGGGATAGGAAGAGACAATAATGGGTAGGCGGGGATAAGGAGAGATAGGGAGGGATTGGGAGATATAGGAAGGCATTGGAAGGTATATGAAGAGACAGGAAGGGATAGAGATGAATAGGAAGAGAGAGAAAGGGGTAGGAAGGGATAAGTGGGGATAAGGAGGGATAAGAAAGGAAGAGATAGGAAGAGAGAGAAAGGGGTAGGAAGGGATAAGTGGGGATAAGGAGGGATAAGAAAGGAAGGGATAGGAAGAGAGAGAAAGGGATAGGAAGGGGTAAGTGGGGATAAGAAGGGATAAGAAAGGAAGGGATAGGGAGGGATAAGAAGAGAGAGAAGGGGGTAGGAAGGGATAAGTGGGGATAAGGAGGGATAAGAAAGGAAGGGATAGGGAGGGATAAGTTCGGATACGAAGAAATTAGAAGGGATAGGAAGAGACAGGAAAAGATAGGGAGGGATAAGTAGAGATGGTTGGGAGGTAGAAGGAAGGTAGTGTGAGGTAAGTGGAAGGATGAAAACAACTTTCAATAGACAATTTAATTGTTTTTTTATGACTTTTAGAAATCCGTAAGTAAGGATAAATAAGGACTCAGGGAAGTGAGGTTCTCAGCCAAGACTGTTGGTAAGGATAAGTCAGATATGCAAAGCTGAGTCTCGCCCGGGCTATGACCATGAGGGGAACTCGGCCTGTGTCGACTAACGCCGACTCGCTAACGTGCGTCAGCTGGTGCTGACTCGGATGAGCTTAGTCCTTACCCGCCGTGATGCCCAACCACGGCAGTAACCTCCAGGCGGCAATTACAACTTCTCCCGCCTGGGCGAGGCGCGAACCGCCGACCCTTGGATGGGAGGACAACACGTTACCCCTGTACTAGCCCGGAGGCTAGACTGTTATTATTTATCATTTCCTCCGAGGAAGGAAGTTTCAGGCGGGAAGGGGGGGAGGGGGGCAGAGAGGGTTATCCACGCTCCCTTTGCTCCCTACCCTTGACGCCCCTTGTGAGATGTCGCTTTATTATTGATTCATGATTTTTAGTGTATAGTACTATGGACACTTTTCCCATTAAAATGACTTATTTTATCGTCTGTCTGGCAACAAGGTAACTTTTTTTTTCTCTGTATTATATATATATATATACACACACGTCTATATACATTTATAAACAATGATTGTGATTTCTTGAAGCAACACTGTTAGCCAAGGTTTTGTTATCCATGGGACAGATTTTTTTCTTCATTTGTACGTATACCACATTGTTTTAGTCCCATCCCATGCTTCATTCGAATGGTTGAGAAAAGACTCAGGAGAAAAAGAAAGACATTTGAGGAAGGAAAATGGCGTTTTCCTTTTATCGTTTTGCGGCCTGTCATATCCTCCCGAATTTTGGGTTCAATCCTGGCGATGCTAGGAGTACAACTGCAGGGGGATAGGGATGCCAATTAGCGCTGTTGCATAGCATCCTTTCGCCTATTTTTATCATAGCGAAATGCCACGGAATGTTCCCTTAGCTTCCGGAAAGACGGGAAAAGGTTAGAGCAAAATACCATTTCCCTTCCTCAAATATCCTGTTCTCGGTCACGAAGAAAACGAACAATCGATGTGGCGAATGAAACGATTTTGGGGGGCGTGGCTAACACGACTGACCATCCGGGCTCCTGGAGTCGTGACGTCATAGGGTTAAAGGCAGCTTTACCAGTAAGGCTAGAGGTCCCTCCTTCACTCTTCGTCGCTCTCGTCGTCCGGCAACACCGACAGACAGAACGTAAGGTAATGGCGTTCACTGCTTTAGCACAGTGTGTGTCAATTGTCCATGTTTAATGAGAGTTTGATCATAATATGCCCAAACTATTTACCCTGACGTTCTGTGGAGTTGATGGTTTCTGGCGCAGTTTCGTGTCGCACCATTCGTTTTTCTCTGTGGCCTTTCGCAGGGCGACTGACTCCTCTCGCAGGTCGCAACGCGTGAACGAGTGAGTGAGATTTGCGAAGTACGAGCTTCGTCTGGGTCTTCCATGTATATGGCCCGACCTGTGTCTACTGTTTATGGTGTCTCAATTAATTCACGTCGCTCGTTGCTTATCATGGTGGCCGGGTTGCGACATAACCTTTTTACCACCCCTTGCAACACCTGTCTGCATAGTCATGTTTGTGTGATTTTCCATGCGCAGTGGTAAACTTGTCTGATTCTGTGAAAAATGACTTAGGCACCTCTCTTAACTGTTTCAGAGAGTGCCAGGATCGCAACAATGAGACTGTCTTCCCTGGTGTGGCTGGCGTGCGCGGTCGTGCTGCTGTGCGCATGCACCGTCGTTCACGCGCAAGGTAATTTGCTTTTGTGTTGGACTTGGCTGATTTAGAGAGAGAGAGAGGGAGAGAGAGAGAGCTTTGACATTTCCTTCAAATAATACTGAAAGAGTGAAGAGCAGATATACGTACACACACACACACACACACACACATATATATATATATATGTAGAGAGAGAGAGAGGGAGAGGGAGAGAAAGAGAAAGAGATAGCGAGAGAAAACAGACGAAAAAAAAGAGTAAAAACACCCCCTCAAGCATTTACAATTATATTTTTCAGGTCACTTTTACATCGGAGGCACGAATGCAAGACGGCCTCTTGTGGTAAGCTATCTGTTCCTCGTTTATCACCAGCTTATCTTTCTGGAGTCGTAGAAATACCTAAATTTTGTTCTCAAGTTCATGACATATTTTAATGACACTTAACAGAACTTTAGTGTTGCTTATGCTACCATTCATATTATCATTATCATTGTTTTATCATACTATTAACATTACCATTGTCATTATTCGTATTAACATTATTACCATTGTCCTTATTATCACAAACACCATCATTACCATTGTCATTATTATCACAAATATTATCATCAACATCCATCATTACCCTTCTCACTAACATCATCATTACCATTCTCATTATCATCACTATTACCATCGTCATTTTATCACTAACTCCCCCCTCCCCCTTTCCTCCCCAGGGCGCCCTAACCCAGGTCTCCAGGCACCCCGGGAGGAGGCCCCCGCGCATTATCTCCGCCCGGCTGCGAAGACGATGCCTCCTCTACATCAACCGCCGCTGCCGATACTGGTCTAGAAACTGATCCTGGTCCTGATACTGATACTAGTACAGATATCGATGCTGAAATTGATACTAGTTCAGATAGTGATACTGATATTGGTCTAGATATTGATACTGATTCAGATATTGATACTGATATTGGTCTAGATATTGATACTGACACTGGTTCAGATATTGATACTGATCCTGGTCCTGATACTGATACTGGTTCAGATATTGATACTGATCCTGGTCCTGATACTTATACTGATCCTGGTCCTGATACTGATACTGGTTCAGATATCGATACTGAAATTGATACTAGTTCAGATAGTAATACTGATATTGGTCTAGATATTGATACTGATTCAGATATTGATACTGATCCTGGTCCTGATACTGATACGGATCCTGGTCCTGATACTGATCCTGGTCCTGATACTGATCCTGATCCTGGTCCTGATACTGGTTCAGATATTGATACTGATCTAGATATTGATACTGATACTGGTTCAGATATCGATACTGAAATTGATACTAGTTCAGATAGTGATACTGATATTGGTCAGGGCAGTGTCAGAGAGATCTGGGGTGGGGGTGCTGAGGCAAAAGTGGGCGGTAGGTGTATTTGTTTTTATCTTGAATGACAAAATGCATCAAGCTCACAAATCCCAATAACTGTGAAGACAATAAACTATATTACTATGGTAACTAATGAGATGTTGATTTACTCTGTGCTAACACAGCTAAATAAATTGGTTCACTAAATTCGGTTTTATTTCTGGAATATATCTTATTTTCATTGATCTGAAACATACCAAAAAGTGAGGAAAGTGTATGTTCGCATTTGTATATGATGCAGGGTTGGGGGGGGAGGGGACACTAGGAATCCACCTCAAAGCCAACTTGGAAAAGTTTGAGAACCACTCCTCTGGCTGTTTCTGCTGATGATAATCCTTCATTCATCGCCTGTTTACGATGCATTAATTAAGTCAGGTGTTATGATACCATTTCGTCGTTGATTCACCCGTGGTATTCTATATTGGTAATTAAAATAACACCAATACAATAAAATAACACAAATACAGTAAAATAACACAAATACAGTAAAATAACACAAATTCAGTAAAATAACACAAATTCAGTAAAATAACACAAATACAGTAAAATAACACAAATTCAGTAAAATAACACAAATTCAGTAATGTGTACACAAAGGACTGATATCGAATCGTACCGCTTCGAACTCGTTAACGGGTCCTCATTGAATGATTCAATTTCCCTTCTTATTGTGCCTGCATTTCTTTTTTGTTGTCTGCGTGGGATAAATTCTTTTACGTATTTTATGGAGAGTATGCGTTTAGGTTATATAAGGTGGGAGGGGGATGGGTAATGGTGGTGGGGGGAGGGGGGACAGAGGGATAGGGAAGGTGGCGGGATGGCAGGGGTTGGGTAGCAGGTGGGGGGATAGGGAGGGTATAGGTAAATGGTGGAGGGAGAGGGAGGGGTAGGTAGCAGGTGGGGAGATAGGGAGGGTATAGAGAGGGTGGGGCAGGAGGGTAGAAGGGTAGTAATAGCAGTAATGGTAGGTAAAATGCCAGCGAAAAGTACTTTAAGACAGTACGTCTATCTTTCTTTCAATGAAATATAAAAGCGACGAACTTGTAGAATTGCGGGGCGCCCTCAGGAATGTCATTTTTTTTAGGAGTCCGGGCAGGGATGGGGGTGTGGGCGTGGGGGTGAGGGGGTAATAATTTTAACTGATTATTCAGAAATATCTGTTTAAGATTTATAACCGTAATTGTGTATCTATAAATGATTGTATTGTATTTCAGATATTTTATCACTAACTCCCCCCTCCCCCTTTCCTCCCCAGGGCGCCCTAACCCAGGTCTCCAGGCACCCCGGGAGGAGGCCCCCGCGCATTGTCTCCGCCCGGCTGCGAAGACGATGCCTCCTCTACATCAACCGGAGGGGAAGGTGGAAGGGGTGGGGGGGAAGATGGATGGTGAAAGGAGAGGGAGGAGGGGGTGGGGGTAAGACGGATAGGGAAAGGGGAGAGGAGGGGGGAGGAGGGGGTGATGGAGGTCCTTAGCAGAGGGAATAAAGGGAGGGAGGGAGGGAGGGGAAGGGGATGGGGAAAAGAAGAGGAGGAGAGGGAGAGTATGTGAGGAGGGGGGGAGGAGGAGGAAAGTGGAAAGGGAGGGAAAGAATGATGGAGGTCCTTCGGAAAGAAAAGACATTTAAAGAGAGAGAGAGAGAGAGAGAGGGTGCCATGATATACAATATTCGTACATGCATTCGTACACATAGGCAGATGGCCGAGGCGACTGAACCAAGGACGGCAAATTGTTCGTGATATTTTGTATCAGACATACGGGTATGTCTGATACCGGTGCGTGGAGATAGGAAGTGGTCTTTAGTAAAGATTGAAGCCAACCAAACAGTTTAAACCTACGTAAACATATGTATCTATCCATCTATCTATCTGTCTACTGGATATCCGTCCTTCATTAAACTCGTATACCCCCCCCCCCCCAAAAAAAAAAAAAAAAAAAAAAAAAAATCCTTCACAATGTCTTACCGTAAAAACAAAGGAGGATTTTAACGGTTTTCCGTTCTATATGGAAAAAAATAAGTCCTTGGCAGTGTCTTGCCGTTAATCAAGGTGAATTTTAACGATGTTTTCCATAACTTAAGAGGTTATATAAAGTGCGTATGATAATATCGATGCAAAGGGGGGGGGGTAGGGGGGGAGTACCCGTTTTGCCAGCCTAGTGACTGTGGAGAACTCAGGCATATATTCGCTATTATGTATGTAGTGTGTGTGTGTTTGTTTCTGTGTGCGTGTATTTGTTTTTTCGTGTTTGTCTGTATGTGTGTTTGTCTGTACGCGTGTGTGTATGTGTGTACGTGTGTATGTGTGTGTATTTGTTTGTTTGTTTATCTGTTTGTGTTTGTATGTATGTGCGCGCCCGCGTGTATGTGCACTACTCTTAAACATTCACATAATCCATATCATCACAAAGGAACAGATATCTTCCCTAGTTCAAAATATAAAAAAAAAACATTTTTTCCTTCTTCCATAAAAAAATAAAACTAGGAAAATACTGGTTGAATCGCTGAGGTGCATGACCTTGGCTGAGTTCAAGGTGCTTATTCTCGTTGGGTTTAGCTTTTTGCGTGCGTACGTGCGTGTGTACGTGTGTGTGGGTGTGTGTATGTGTATGTGTGCGTGCGTGAGTGTGTACATGTATGTGGCTGTGTGTATGTGTGCGTGCGTGAGTGTATTTGAGGAAGTGTGTGCACATGTCTAGCTTTAAAGACATACATAATAAAAACACACACACTAACGCACACACACAGCCACGAGCCTGATCCGTGGAAGACACGTGACCACGCTGCAACCTCCTCCGGGGATCAAAGGCAGGTGGTTTGGAATGCAGACCAGTCCTGCTCCTCGACGCTTGCAGGCTGTTCCGACTGGCCTGTTTCTATCGTATCCTGCTTTTATCCTGTCCATATCCTTGCTGTATCCTATCTCTGTCCTGCCTCTATCCTATCCTAATCCTGATACTATCCTATCCCGATCCTGATTCTATCCAATCCCTATCCTACCTCTCTTATCCCTATCTTGTCTCTTTCCTATCCATATCTTGTCTCTATCCCATCCATATCTTGTCTCTTTCCTATCCATATCTTGTCTCTTTCCAATCCCTATCTTGTCTCTTTCCAATCCCTATCCTACCTCTCTTATCCATATCTTGTCTCTATCCCATCCATATCTTGTCTCTATCCCATCCATATCTTGTCTCTATCCCATCCATATCTCGTCTCTTTCCCATCCATATCTTGTCTCTTTCCAATCCCTAACCTACCTCTCTTATCCATATCTTGTCTCTTTCTATCCCTATCTTGTCTCTTTCTATCCCTATCTTGTCCTCTTTCCTATCCCTATCTTGTCTCTTTCCTATCCCTATCTTGTCTCTATCCCATCCATATCTTGTCTCTATCCCATCCATATCTTGTCTCTTCCTATCCATATCTGTCTCTTTCCTATCCCATCTTGTCTCTTTCCTTTCCCTATCTTGTCTCTTTCCTATCCCTATCTTGTCTCTTCCTATCCCTATCTCGTCTCTTTCCTATCCATATCTGTCTCTTTCCTATCCACATCTTGTCTCTTTCCAATCCCTAACCTACCTCTCTTATCCATATCTTGTCTCTTTCCAATCCCTATCTTGTCTCTATCCCATCCATATCTTGTCTCTTTCCTATCCCTATCTTGTCTCTTTCCTATCCCTATCTTGTCTCTTTCCAATCCCTATCTACCTCTCTTATCCCTATCTTGTCTCTTTCCTATCCACATCTTGTCTCTTTCCTTTCCTATCTCGTCTCTTTCCTATCCCTATCTTGGTCTCTTTCCTATCCCTATCTTGTCTCTTTCCTTTCCCTATCTCGTCTCTTCCTATCCCTATCTGTCTCTTTCCCTATCCCTATCTCGTCTCTTTCTATCCCTATCTTGGTCTCGTTCCTTGACTAATTCTCGTCCATCTTTCCTATCCCTATCTTGGGCCTCTTTCCTAGCCCTAATCTTGTCTCTTTCCTATCCATATCTTGTCTCTTTCCAATCCCTAACCTACCTCTCTTATCCATATCTTGTCTCTTTCCAATCCCTAACCTACCTCTCTTATCCCTATCTTGTCTCTATCCCATCCATATCTTGTCTCTATCCCATCCATATCTCGTCTCTTTCCTATCCACATCTTGTCTCTTTCCAATCCCTAACCTACCTCTCTTATCCATATCTTGTCTCTTTCCTATCCATATCTGTCTCTTTCCAATCCCTATCTTGTCTCTTCCTATCCATATCTGTCTCTTTCCTATCCTATCTTGTCTCTTTCTATCCCTATCTTGTCTCTTTCCATCCCTATCTTGTCTCTTTCCTATCCCATCTTGTCTCTTTCCTATCCCTATCTTGTCTCTTTCCAATCCCTAACCTACCTCTCTTATCCATATCTTGTCTCTTTCCTATCCCTATCTTGTCTCTTTCTATCCATATCTTGTCTCTTTCCTATCCTATCTTGTCTCTTTCCAATCCCTATCTTGTCTCTATCCCATCCATATCTTGTCTCTTTCCTATCCCTATCTTGTCTCTTTCCAATCCCTAACCTACCTCTCTTATCCCTATCTTGTCTCTTTCCTATCCCTATCTTGTCTCTTTCCTATCCCTATCTTGTCTCTTTCCTTTCCCTATCTTGTCTCTTTCCTATCCCTATCTGTCTCTTTCCTATCCTATCTTGTCTCTTTCCTTTCCCTATCTTGTCTCTTTCCTTTCCCTATCTTGTCTCTTTCCATCCCTATCTTGTCTCTTTCCTATCCCTATCTTGTCTCTTCCTATCCCTATCTTGTCCTCTTTCCTATCCCTATCTGTCTCTTTCCAATCCCTATCCTACCTCTCTTATCCCTATCTTGTCTCTATCCATCCATATCTTGTCTCTTTCCTATCCCTATCTCGTCTCTTTCCTATCCCTATCTTGTCTCTCTCCTATCCCTATCTTGTCTCTTTCCTATCCATATCTTGTCTCTTTCCTATCCATACCTTGTCTCTTTCCTATCCCTATCTCGTCTCTTTCCTATCCCTATCTTGTCTCTTTCCTATCCCTATCTTGTCTCTTTCCAATCCCTAACCTACCTCTCTTATCCCTATCTTGTCTCTTTCCAATCCCTATCTTGTCTCTTTCCTATCCCTATCTTGTCTCTTTCCTATCCATATCTTGTCTCTTTCCAATCCCTATCTTGTCTCTTTCCAATCCCTATCCTACCTCTCTTATCCATATCTTGTCTCTATCCCATCCATATCTCGTCTCTTTCCCATCCATATCTTGTCTCTTTCCAATCCCTATCTTGTCTCTTTCCTATCCCTATCTTGTCTCTTTCCAATCCCTATCCTACCTCTCTTATCCCTATCTTGTCTCTTTCCTATCCACATCTTGTCTCTTTCCAATCCCTATCCTACCTCTCTTATCCATATCTTGTCTCTATCCCATCCATATCTCGTCTCTTTCCCATCCATATCTTGTCTCTTTCCAATCCCTATCTTGTCTCTTTCCTATCCCTATCTTGTCTCTTTCCAATCCCTATCCTACCTCTCTTATCCCTATCTTGTCTCTTTCCTATCCACATCTTGTCTCTTTCCTTTCCCTATCTCGTCTCTTTCCTATCCCTATCTTGTCTCTTTCCTATCCCTATCTTGTCTCTTTCCTTTCCCTATCTCGTCTCTTTCCTATCCCTATCTTGTCTCTTTCCTATCCCTATCTCGTCTCTTTCCTATCCCTATCTTGTCTCTTTCCTTTCCCTATCTCGTCTCTTTCCTATCCCTATCTTGTCTCTTTCCTATCCCTATCTTGTCTCTTTCCTATCCATATCTTGTCTCTTTCCTATCCATATCTTGTCCAGGTTGATATATTAGCCGGGTCAACTGGTGATCTGGATCTTAGCATAGTCCTTACAGATTTAAGGCGTCTTGTTTCCATTATAAATGCCAAAAGCCATCACCTGTGGCAGAGTGGACCAACCTTACCATCAGTAACCAACACAAACCCATCATAGTACCTTGGGTGGTGCTGGCCCGGCACGGGGTCAGTGCCATAAGATTGGCCCACCTCATCCCATATATTGAGGGAAACTTCCCTCTGCAATGCCCGCATTGCACCAACCGCCTCTCAATACCACACACTTAATATGTTGCAATACAATGCCCAAAGAAAATGCTTTAAAAATTGCATCAGATCCCAAAACATGGATTTCATAACATCAAATCTGCTATCAGATAATAAAAGAATCATCAATAAGGTAATGACTTTTCTAGAAGAGACAAAGTTTTATGACAGCTAGATCGAAATAATGAATAGGATCCATTGGTTTAATGACCTTGGTTAGCTGTGTTGACATGGCCATATGCCGCTGGTCGATTGCCAAGAAATCCAACAAACAAGCAAGCTTAATGTACAGTTTTGTCAGTTTCAGTTGATCTTGAGAGTTCATATGGCAGAATCCATATGAACTTGTTCCTTGGAGGTGGCCTGCTAGGCGAACCATCTCCCGGGACCGTAGCGTTTGTGCGCCACACAAAACGTACAAAACCTCTCGCTACAGGCCGTTCCGTTGAAATTGTAGCGCTACGGAGTGCAACGGAACACAAGGCAGATCTCAAAGCGCATGCACAATGACAATTTTAATCCTGCACATGCTCAGAATGAGCTAGTTCATCCCACCAATATTGATATTGATGATGATGTCATCAACTCCATAGAAAAGGTGGAGATGAGTTGCCATAAATATTTATTGTTAGCAATAACGAAACATTCTGACAATCCCATGTCAAAGATGTATGCGAAAATTCAATATATATTTTCATAAGTGGGATATTCAAAGTGCATCTATAACTCGAAACGAAAAGAAAATCCCACAAAGAATATCAGAGTTTCCAGACAGAAAAAGCAACGTTATTTCCAGGTTGGAAAGCATTCTCTACTTATGCAATATATTAATTGAATAAAAAGAAAACTTTCAATAACACCAGCTTAGGTTTTAAACTCAATACAAACCTCCTCATTCTTTAAACTATAGCGATTTCAAAACCACGTGGACATTTGTTATCATGATCCTCACTGGCAACATTCTTTAAAAAACTACACTATCTATGTCCAGCGATCACATACGAGAAGGAGCTCTCTGAGAAAACACAAACAGAAGATATTCATAACTTCAATTTATAAATTGAAGTTATGAATATCTTCTGTTTGTGTTACACCTTTATTTCAGTTATCTATAAAATTTATAGGCTATTTGAAGCCATTGATATATTTTATTTGTACTGACACTGATATATATCGACATGATATAATACTAGCGTAAATGTGTATGAATACTTTTCTTCCCCTGCAACAAACGTAATCAACATTAGCGTATGATATGAAACTTGCAGAGGGTGAATGCTAATTGACATTAAACAGATACTCGCGTTTTCGTGTGAAACAACAGAAGTACAGGGTAGTTTCAGACCGTTTGAGGATCACGTCCACGGCCGACGACAGAAAATAAACAAGAAACCGTTAAAAAAGTATCAAGTCGTTCAAAATCATGTTGTATAAGTATTATAGATGTATATTTTCAAGATTATATTTGTGTAATGATATGATATATAAGTAATGCAATATAAAAAAGTACAAATAATACAATCGTCTTTCATGCGCCATTACGCGCCAAAGGTTCGTTGTTTATGCCTATAGCCACGATCTTTTGATGCTCTGGCGAAGACAAATTGTTTGCGCAATTGTTGACGATTTACCACATTCAGGCTGGACTTGAGAATATATAGCTTACGTAACGTTAAAAAAAAAAAAAAAAAAAAAAAAAAAAAAAAAAAATATATATATATATATATATATATATATATATATATATATATATATATATATATATATATATATATATATATATATATGTATGTATGTATTATGGTGTTCTTGGAAGTATTAAAGTTGCGGAGAAAACCCCTATCGTAATGTAAATAGTATTTTTTTTTTACTGACGGAGAAAGTGAAATGTACGTGAACGACAAATGGATCGACCTTTTGTGTTGTGCAGTTTGCAGCTCGAAAAGTATAGCGTTAATTTTCCTATACTCACATATTTACTAGTTTATGAATGACCCAATTATGAAATAAATAACAAAATAATCTTGCTCCAAAGGTTAAGCATGGTTCTCACCCCTGTAGAGTTTAACGCACACACACACATTGAAATAGCATTGAGGTTTCACATGTATTTTTTTCTCATTCCTTTTATTTGATATAAGGAAAGGGAAAACACCACTGCCAGACCTGAAGATGAAGTTCAGAAGGATTTCGAAACTGTTGCCTCATTTTCAGTAAAGCTAGTTTGTGCATTTTTTTTTTTTTAATCTACGATAGTATCAACAACGTAGTGTGTTTTACCATTCATATATGCAGGTATATATATATGTATGCGTGTGTGTATGTGTGTGTATATGCATATTACTGCTTAAAAGCATATCCTACAATTTACACAGACTTATGTGGATTACTACAAAAACAGCTTCACAGAGCAAGGGACAAAACTGTCACGTTTCGGTTCGGTCTTCAACAGTATTACATGTTTTGTCTAAGCTTTGGTTTGTGTGGCACTTCCGCGAAATTCATCAGAGGGAATTAGATGCAGTGATGCTATGTCGACATAAAAGTTTTGCTCAAAACGATACGAAGTGGGTTTCTGTTTCATACACTTTTGAAAATGTGACTTATAGTTCTGCCTTTTCTATCAATATTTTTTTTGCTGTACCTTACCAAGTGGATTCATAATCATTACATATTATGTTAGATTAAGTAAGAAAAGTGGGGTAGATTGGACAGCGTGGATATGTTGAAGACTGAGGAAAACTGGCAGTGGTCCAACTTTTTTTTCAGATTTCATGTAAGGTTTCGTAAATATTCAGCCGTTTACTATTACTGAAAATTGTAACCAGATATTTACATTCCTTTTTTTTCTTTTTTAGTGATACGCGCTTCCTTTTTTTTCTTTGTCTGTGCAGTGTTTTCATTGACATTATGTTATATATCTGATACAATAGCAACTCGTGGAAAATAGATATAGAGTGATGTGTTACTAGCAGGCTTCACACAATAGTACAACAATAACTATGATTTTTTTGTTGTTGTACAAAAATAATTAAAGAAAAAAGTCACTCTACTGTCTACAATCTACTGTCAATTGTCCATCAGATAGTAATTAAGCATACCAACACGTGACACGACTTTCACATACTTTAATGAATGGCCATTTTTGGTATCTTTACGAAAGTTTTTTTTTGTTGAATCTGTATCATACTTTAGACATTTTCTTTTACTTATCTGTTACTGTATATACATGTTTTTTTTTTTTTTTTTTTTTTTTTTTTTAATCTACGATAGTATCAACAACGTAGTGTGTTTTACCATTCATATATGCAGGTATATATATATGTATGCGTGTGTGTATGTGTGTGTATATGCATATTACTGCTTAAAAGCATATCCTACAATTTACACAGACTTATGTGGATTACTACAAAAACAGCTTCACAGAGCAAGGGACAAAACTGTCACGTTTCGGTTCGGTCTTCAACAGTATTACATGTTTTGTCTAAGCTTTGGTTTGTGTGGCACTTCCGCGAAATTCATCAGAGGGAATTAGATGCAGTGATGCTATGTCGACATAAAAGTTTTGCTCAAAACGATACGAAGTGGGTTTCTGTTTCATACACTTTTGAAAAATGTGACTTATAGTTCTGCCTTTTCTATCAATATTTTTTTTGCTGTACCTTACCAAGTGGATTCATAATCATTACATATTATGTTAGATTAAGTAAGAAAAGTGGGGTAGATTGGACAGCGTGGATATGTTGAAGACTGAGGAAAACTGGCAGTGGTCCAACTTTTTTTCAGATTTCATGTAAGGTTTCGTAAATATTCAGCCGTTTACTATTACTGAAAATTGTAACCAGATATTTACATTCCTTTTTTTTTCTTTTTTAGTGATACGCGCTTCCTTTTTTTTCTTTGTCTGTGCAGTGTTTTCATTGACATTATGTTATATATCTGATACAATAGCAACTCGTGGAAAATAGATATAGAGTGATGTGTTACTAGCAGGCTTCACACAATAGTACAACAATAACTATGATTTTTTTGTTGTTGTACAAAAATAATTAAAGAAAAAAGTCACTCTACTGTCTACAATCTACTGTCAATTGTCCATCAGATAGTAATTAAGCATACCAACACGTGACACGACTTTCACATACTTTAATGAATGGCCATTTTTGGTATCTTTACGAAAGTTTTTTTTTGTTTAAAATCTTGATTGAGAGAGAAAAAAAAACTATTTACTAAATAGGCCTATAAAAAAAATAAAACTTTCCGCCGATAACTTCTATTCAATCGGACAGCATGAAACTTCCATATATGTCTCGTTTTACTAATAAAAAAAGTCATAAACAAAAAATAACATAAGTCTTTATTGTGACATTAATTAGTCGCATATTACCTTAATGTCAGGCTTTTTTTTGTTGAATCTGTATCATACTTTAGACATTTTCTTTTACTTATCTGTTACTGTATATACATGTTTTTTTTTTAATCTACATTGAATCTAAAAGTATTTTGTATATATATCTATCTATTTCTATCTCTCTTCTCTATTCCTATATTTTTATCTCTTCTCGCGTTCTATATCTATGTTTATCTCTCTACCTATCTGTGTATCTATCTCAATATATACATGCATATATATAGATATACAAATACACACACATACACACACACACACATATGTATACACACACACATAGGCTATATATGTCGGTCCATGTGTGTCCAGGATCTTGATTAATCCCCAGGAATAAAACAGCATTTTGTCTGTCCGTCGGGGATTCCCCACAATTTGCAGGAAACTGTGATCATCCATATTTCGTTATTTTTTTATCGTCATTTTCTCCTTTATTTTTCTGAAGCCACACTTAAAAAAAAAAAAAAAAAAAAAAAAAAAAA